AATTTTTAAACTCATTTTAAATTTTACACAAAAGAAGAAAATTTAACTACATAAATCAGTCTGTTGTGAGTTTTATGGTAAAATGTGTCAAAGTTAAAACTAAAAGCAAACTGTTGGCTAGCTAGCTTGTTAGCAGTTAGCTTTTTACTGCTGTTTTTTGTGTGTTTTTGTTTTCTTACTGTTTTTCTCTGCTGAATAAATGGATATTTTTCACCAACTAACATCGAAAAACTTCATTTAAATATAAATTCTCCCAAGTTGTTGTTTGTCTTTTGYGTAAATGATAATTTCAGAGCGTTTAGCATGTTCTGCTAACAGCTGYGTCACATCAGATTTCACATAAATCATAACGCATTCTGGACTAAATGTTGTTTTTATTTGTTTATTTGATTTAAATGAAAGAGTTGCTTGTTTTTAATGTCAAATCTAGTTTTTACAAGTTAGCCGATAGAAACTAGCTTGGATTTTTATCTGTTTTATTAACACAAACTTGTTCTCCTTTCAGTCGTGTTTATGTTTAGTTATTTGTTTTGTTTGTTTAAACGGACGTGTGGATCAGTCTTTCATGTCAGACTCATGAATGTTTCTGGTTGTCCTACCTGCTAATGGGTCCTGTTGGTTCAGGTGTGACCCTTCAGAGCAACGACTGAAACAAACAGACAAAAAGACTCCGATTATCAACCACTTGTACCTTTTCAGAGATAAAAGAGACATTAGCATTTCTGCCATGGTTTGTTTTTATTTTCCTTGTTTGTGTCCACACTCTACGAGTGGACGCAGTGAAGACCGGGGTCGCTCGTTAAGTAGCTCTGATCCACACAAAGACATAAACATCTCCTGTTCAGGAGGCTCCCAGCATGCACTGCGTCCATTGAAGAGATGAAGGGACTCCCCCGTGTTGGGGGATCCATTTCTGACCTCTTCTTACCTGGTCTGTCCAGCTGCCAGTTCAGCCGTCTGGTCGAGGAACGGAGGACAGGGAGCGTCTTCGCCCAACTACGAGGCTCCTCTGCACTCACTGGTAAATAATCAACACGCCATAGAAGAAGTATAAGTTAACCCTGTTAGCGTCTCGTTAGCGCATGCTAACGCCGCTTGTCTGTCGCTCTGCAGCAGAGTCGCATCGAGGACCGTCTGGAGCGTTTGGACGATGCCATCCACGTCCTGCGGAGCCACGCGGTCGGGCCGTCGACGGGCATGGCGAGCGGTCACGGCGACATGCACGGCCTGATCGGGGCGGCGCACACGCACAACGGCGCCATAGGGGCTCTGGGCGGCGGCTACGGGACGGGACTGCTATCGGCCAACAGACACTCTCTCATGGTACGAACCGGTTTCCTTCCTGATCCAGGACAGCTCAGGCTGCAGCTGAAGAATATGGAGTCAAATCTCATCTACTCTTGTTTTATTTTAGGATATAACCTTTTTTTTAAAGATGTTCTTCCTGTTTTAAATATTAAAATAATAAAGTCCAGCTTGAGGAGCAGCRAAGTCACCAGGTTCAAACTGAAAACACAAAACGAAATGACAGAAACATTTTCCATATTTGAGACGTTGCACTTTTTTTTTCCCCTAAAACAACAAACATAAAGAGCCAAACAGCTGTTTAACATAAGGAGGCAGAACATTAATGACAGAACGTTTTATAAACAGATCCAGATCCCTGCTGAGCTCCTAAACAGGCTCAGTCTGGGCTTCATTTTACTTTTGACCAGATCTTGGAGAGTATGGAAAAAATACATCAAGGTTTGGAAGAGTATTTGTTTTTCCAAACTAATCCCATTCTTTKTTTTCTAAAAGATAAAAACAGAAAAACTTCACACAGATTATACGTAAAATCTGGATACTGTTGTTATAAATCAGCTTTAAATTGATCAGAGGAACGGTCAGGTGGTTAAACAGGATATGAAAAAAATAAAAGTTAAACAACAATGATGATGAAAAGTATTTTATCTCATTATCTTACTCTGTTTTTCATGACTAACATGCTAACAGTGCTATATTCCGCTTACATAACTAATATTTAACATGTTTATAATATATATAATTTATAATAATGTTTATTGACTCTCTGTGGAGAAATTGTATTATTTATTATCATCATTATTACTACATTGTATAGCTGACGTGCTAACGCTAAATAAAATTACTGTACGCCCACAGTTTACTTAGCTGTTTTTTGCTAACATGCTAAATTGCCTTAATTGCTTTATCTTCCTGACATGTCATCATATTGACAGCTTGCTAACTGTGCTATAGTTAGCTCTCATGCTAAATAAATGTTAACATGTTTASTAATTAAATCACATAGCTAACATGYTAAATTGCTAACATTGTCACRTACTGCTAATATGCTAACCAGAAACATGTTTACAGTTTATAACTATCTATTGCTAATGTAGCAACTTGCTAACACTGCTGCATATTACTAACATGCTAACTAAAAGTTAACATGTTTACTAATGACACTGAGTTGCTGACAGGCAAAAATGCCAACTAAATGATGTCCAATGTGCAAAACATACAGAGAATTGAAATTGCGTCACTCTCCTTCCCAGTTACAGCAATAAACAAGTAATCAGCTAAAGTAGCACAAATCAAATAATAATGTAAATAATCAAAAAAGTCACACTAAATGTTTAATAAAACAAGGACACATATGAATGAATGTGGGACATCGATACAAAAATAATAGGTATGGAGGGGTACTCAGTAGTGCAAAAATAGAGATTTTATCTTTGCTAATTAATGCTAAAATGCTAACTTGCCTAAATTGCTCAATCTTGCTGCTATAATTGAAACCTAACAAATTTTTTTTACTGTATGCCCATCTTATTAACATTCTGACAAGGCTACATAATGCTAACTTGTTAAAATGCTATATTTCTCTTTCATGTTTACTTTACCARTTTGCTAATATACTTGATTGCTACATTGTCATATATTGCTAATATGCAATATAAAAGCATGTCTGTTGTTTGTAACTTTACCTATTGCTAAATGCTAACACGACAACGCTGCTGCCTATTGCTAACATGCAACCTAAAAATTAACATGTTTATTAATTACWTCTTCTTGCTAACATGCTAGCTAAAAATATGTCTGAACTTTGTTGCATTTCTGCTAATTGCTAACATGCTAACTCGCCTAAATCAGTAATCTTTATAGTTATTATGTATTAGCACAACATCATTTTGTTTGGTTCTCTCAGGTCAGTATTTAAAAATACTTTAAAGTCTTCAGTTTACATGATAAAGTACTGAGGCTTCAAGTAGCTAAAACATTTTAAAAAAACTATAAAACAACAAAAAGCTAAGAGTATCCAAACATTTTCATCTTGCTAACATGTTTGACTGTRTGTACATCATAGTGACAACATGCTAACAATGCTACATAATGCTAACTTGATAACAATGCTAAAGTTCCCTTTCCTGCTAATTAAAATTTAACTTGTTTGCTACTTAAATTGCATTGCTAACATGCTAACTTGCCTAAATTGCTTCTTTCTGCYGACATTATAATAAGTTTGTTGATGGCAWGTACWAACRTGATAAATTTASTAGATATTGCTGTAATGGCAGCTAATAGTTAACATGTTTACTTGTTTAAAAACTAAGTTCAAGTTTATTTATTTAGCACCAAGTCCCAACATCCGTTGTCTCAGGGCACTGTACATAAAAAGAACAATATAAAGAAGAAAGCAGCAGATTGTGTTGAATCACTTCATCACAGTCTCCCATCCTGAGCAAACGGTGGAGGAAAAACTCCCTGCTAATCAGGAAGAAACCTCCAGCAGAACCAGGCTCAGGACAGGAGACCATCTGCCTCGACCGGCTGGTTGGAGGACAGGAAAGAGACACAGACAAACACAGAAGAACTGGTCCAGGACTGGTCCAGGTGCACCTTCTTCTGGAAGACAACATTGATACATATTGCTAACAGCTAAGATTAGGTGTGTAGGAAAATTAGCATGCTAACAACGCTACACGGTCAYGTGTTGACGTGTGCTGAGGTGAGAATAAATTTGTTCCTGGTTTTATAAGAAAAGAAAGTTAGTTTTTTTCTTGTTTTWGGTTCTGGTCTCACGACCACCGACCTTATCGACCTTAAAAAGTCGGACCCGTTTCCTCCGAACTAAGCTTTTTTTCTGTAAAAGTGTTTTAATCATCTTTGAAGCGTACGTTCGCACTGATGATGTGAAGGAAACTCTCTGATTCATCTGGAGATTATTCGAAGCACTTCTCTGCTTTTTGGACTCAAGTTTGGCCTCGACTGGTTTTATTCACGTCCCAATAAAACGTTCTGCGTTTACCTGGAAGTGCTTGTTTTTACGAGCTCTGGGAGGGGGACGAGTGCTGAAAACACTGTTTAGTTCCGACCTCTTATTTCAGAGTTAGTTTATTAAAACAGCCGAGCTGTCACTGACGGGTCCTGTGGTTAAAAACATCCAGAACAAGTGGCTCTAACGGCGCTGAACGGGACAGATTCTTAGTTTGTTTGTTGTTGTTTGGGTTTCTAGGTTTTCAGTTTGGTTGTTTTCAGGACATCTGCTAAYGTCCGTGTTGTGTTTACGGTACTCTGCTGTTCATGGCATAAACAGGAACTTTAAAAAGGAAGTGTTTCCTCCYGCTGACATTACCTCTGTTTCTGGTTCAGTCCTGCATTTTTTTCTTTTTCCAAATCTTCCCCTCTGCTGTTTATATTTTGCTGCAGCTTTTAGCGGCAGCTCTGCGCCGCCTCACTCGTACTCTGCCACATATTTACCACGTTACATATTTGCTGTCGTTCCTGTTTTGATCTTCCTGTCTTGATGGGCTCCGTCGTCTCTCTCTTCTTTTCACACAGCTGTGTGCAGTTAGGTCTGAGATGCTTTCGGGCTGAGATCATAACTTTGGGAAAACAGGTGGTAAACTGATGTTGGACACAGATTCAGAGCTGAACCTTCAGAAACAGACGCTGGTGTAACGGTCCTCACAGAAGGGTTTGTCGTTTAATGTTCAACTTTTAACATGGATACAGARTAACTTGATGTGAATTTTCTGAAAAATTACAGACTGGTTGAAATGTAAACAAAAACTCTTAAAACTGCGGAAAAAGACTGTTTAAATCGTCCGTTTGGAGCTAAAACAGGCTTTGTTTTTTGGGGGGTTTTTTGGTTGTGCTACCAGAACAAAGATGAAAACAATTTTTTTAAACAAAGTCATAAATTTATTCTCATTTATTTTAGCTGACATTTCAAGAAGTTACAGTGTAGCACAGTTAGCATGCTAATTTTTCTACAAATAAGCTAATCTAAGAGTAGCAATTTAATGAAATAGTTAAGATGCTAGCATTAAGTTAGCCATAACTAGCAAAGTTGACAATAGGGCTGTGTATTGGCAAGAATTTGGCGATATGATACATATCATAACAGACGGGTCACGATACGATATATCCCGATATATTGCGATACTGTAAGCAAGGCGATATATTGCGATTTTTTTTGTCCAAAAATTCTATTAAATAAAAACCTCTTACTGAAAAAAAAAAGCAAAGCTAATGTTTACTTACAATGCTAATGCTACCCTTACTCTCTGGCGCTCAAGAGGTAGAGGAGCCAAATGTCTGGCTCACTGCTGCCAACTAGTGGTCAGAGGCTGAACTACAACATAAAAATGAACGGTTGGCAAGAAGGTTGACATTTTAAACCTTAATAAAAAATCGATACAGGRCTTTAGAWTATCGATACAGTATCGGGAAATGAAATATCGCGATATTTCAGTGTATCGATATTTTMTTACACCCCTAGTTGACAAGTTAGCAATAAACATCAAATTTACAAACTGCATACAAGTTAGCACATTAGCAAAGTTTATGAGAAAGAGCCTGCTGTATGAAGCAAACTGCCGTTTATTTATTTATTGTAGAAAAGTACAGCATGTCTGGATGTTATATTCTTTTACAGATTAATAACTTTGAGTTGGAGTCATGCTAGTGTTTTATTTGAAAAGTGACTCTAAAACAGGAGAGGTTAACAGGACAAACATCATCCTCATCCATTAAATTGTGGTTCAGTTACTGAGAGTCTTAATCTGCGTCGCTTTGCTTTAAAGCCTTTTAAAGCCACACTTTGACTAAATGTGTTCCTTTAAGCTGATAAAAGTGGGCCGCTGCAGAACCAGAACTTACTCCAACAAGCTGAAGAGAAGAATATCAGAGTCGATCGTTTCAAACTAATCCCTGCTGCCTGAAATCTTATAAAAAGAGAAAGCTCTCTGTGYAAAACAGATGGACGCCTCTCTGACAGCAGATTAGATTTTACTGTTGGGATTTATGGATAATATCTGTGCGTGTGGTCAAATAACGAGTGAAAAAAAATGTCCTTTTACGGTTTGTTTAATCATAATTTAGGTTTTAACCAGTTTTCCTTCGGTTAAATCTCCACGTATGCTAATAAAATGCTGCTAAAATATGCTAATATTGTCATTTTAATTAAGTTCACCTTTTTATCTCTGTTAGAAGTTATGAATATTCATGAGTAAAAGAGGTTGCGGTTGTTGCATGTCAGCATGCCGCCGCTTGTTTATGAAGATAATTAGATAAATAA